TGGCGGGGACCCCAGAAAAGGAGCTGAGAGGCTGCTGGGCTGCTGTGGGCAGTGGAGATGCCCCGTCCCGGAAGGAACCAAGCAGAGGCTGGACAAGAGCAGGCAGGCCAGGGTCTGCATTTCAGGCTGCCTAATGCATGTGAGTTTCTGGGCCTTGATTGTGTCCCACCCCTGGGGCTCCCTGCCAGGCTGCTCCCCACGCAGATACAAAACAATTCTGGAGGTGTCTGACAAGTAGGGTCTGAGCCTCAGAGGACCTTCAACGAGCAGCAGCAGCAGTAGCAGGATGAAGAAGAGAGTCAGGAGTCCAGGGAGTGTCCTTGCACAGAAGTATGGCCTCATATGGAAACTGCAACCTTGTGCCTCGTGTGGCCCAGCCAGGTCACTCAGTCATGCACTGTCTGCTATAAGGGTCCCAGGAAGTAGTTCCTACCCCAGGCCAACTCATCCTAGGAGAATCCTCACACATACTTCCCCTCCCCAACCCCCATCAGAGAGGTTCCCCTTCTGTACAAACCAGAGCAGCCAGAGGGCAAATGCGGTGGTAAGTGAGAGCCTCTTCCTCCTTAGCATGGGGTAAGGGAGGGGCAGCTGGCCTGGCCCTGCCTCTGCATTTCTCCTGGTCTCACATACCCTCTGCCCCATCACAGGTGTTGTCTCAGGGCAGTGCTGGGGGTTCAGGAATTGGGGGGGGGGCAGCTCCAGGTAGTAGTTCCACATTCCTCCACTGAGCCTCCACACATCCAGCCTCCTCCTCTGTTCATGTCCTCCCTCCCCAGCCCACCTACCCTGGGCCCCCCAGGAGCACAGGTCCTGGGATCCCCATGTGCTGTCAGCCCTGGTCATGCAGGGGGGAGGCCCTCACTGTGTGCTGGGTCAGCTAGGCTCTGGCTGGCCTGGGTTGTCAGATGGTGGGGACAAGGGAGAGGCCTGAGGGCCTGTCATAAGTTCTCAGTGTGGCTTCTCCCCTCCCTCCTCAGCCCTACATAGTTCCACTGGAGGAAGAGTGACTTGACCACAATCCTTGGTCTAGAGCCACGGGGGGGGGAATGGACATGACCCACTGCCCTGGCCCTGAGGGTGGGGAGGGCTGGGACACCCAGTGTGCTCGGTCCATGGGTGGCACTGGGGAAGTCACCCATCTTACCTGGGTCACAGGCGTGGCACTGCAGACACTCGCTCCGGTCATTGTGGTGGGGCATGTAGGTGTCCGGGGGGCAGGGGGCACACGCGGAACAGACACGCTGCACCCAGGACCCTGCAGCTCAGAGGGTGGGCAGCTTCTCAGGGCTGCTGCCAGCTCTCAGAGCCCACCCATCAATATGCCTGGAGCCCCAAACATGTGTGACCCCTCCCCTGGGACACAAAGGCACCTGAGCTCTTTTCCTAAGGGACACACAGGTCCCAGTTTTCTTTCAGGAATGTCCTACTTACCTTGGAGAGTAGGAAAATTTCTGGAAATGTAGGGCCTTATGGGACCCATAGGCCTGTTCCTGGCACTGTCCTACTCAGAGTCTCATCCCCTGGTCATGATGGGCTGGCTGTGTCCCCAGGCCCGCCTCCTGTCAGTGTAGCTGTGAGGGTCTCGTAAGCGAAGAGTCCAAGCTATAGGGGTTGGTACCCTTGGACCCCAAGCCCTCTGCTGTCTGTACCCCCTTGGCCTGGCTTTCTGTCATTCATGGTGATGGGCATGGAGAAGACAGGGGTCCAGGGCTGGAAGGGCAGGAGTGTCCACTCATGGTCCACAGTGCTGGCCCTCAGGGGATCCCACAGGGCCGGCCCCTTCCAGGGCTGCACCTACCTGGGCTGCACTTGGGGCAGCACTGGGTGCCCACAGGGTACTCCTCCTCTGTGCATGTGGGCAGAGCAGCGGTGTGGGGTCCCAGGAGGAGGAGGTACAGCACCTGGGAGAGGGGGAACATGAAGGGGAGGAGGAGCCTGGACCACCCCGGGCCTCAGTCTCCCCCTCTGGGTAGAGGGGAAGCAGCAGCTTCTGTGGCCGGCAGTGCCCTGGGAAGGGTGACTCAGGTGAGCCCAGGAAGCTCACAGGGTGACCTGGGATGATCCCTGAAGCCTGGGACAGCGTGGGAATGTCCTTCTCCCCGCCTTCATCTCCTGCTTGATTAATGTGGAATCCTGAAAATGAGTCTCTGCCATCCCCAGGGACCTCTCCCCAGAGGGATTTTAACCAAGAGTTGCCTAAAAACTGGAAGTATCCTCATCCCACCTTGGGGGGCAAAGCACCTATCCCTGACTGAGATGTGGATGGTGAAGGCTGCAGGCAGGAAGAAGTGGCCTGGAGGGGCTGGGGTGCTCCTGCCTGTCGTTTGGATTGCAAAGGCAACAAGGTCAGCTTGGGAGAGCTGGGCAGCTTGAGATAAGGTCCCAGTGGGTGACAGCGCCAAAGGGCCAGGGAGTGGGCCTGGGAGGGAGATCTCAAGGAGCCACATGAACAGGGAAGGGGCAGGGCACAGACAGAGAAGGACAGGGGGGCTCACCAGCCTCAGAGCCTCAGTTTTGGGGGCCAGTATCCAAAGAGAAAGCCCCCATCCCCATGGAGGCGCCATGTCCCTCCTCAGGAAGCACAGAGCTTGGCCACGTTCACAGGGTCCCATGACCAGAGCGGGCCTTGGCACCAGGACTTGCTGCCATTGCTGTCCTCGGCTGAAAGAAAAAGAGAAAGAGAAAACAAAACTGCGGCAGGAGCAGAGCGGAGGGGGCTTGGGCTCCAGGCAGTTCTGCTCTCTAGTTTCCAAGTTAGAGGCTCTGAGACCTGCCACTGCCAGGGTGGGTGGTGGGATGGAAGGGAGCGACACCAGGGAAGGCAGGAGAGGGGACCCAGGGAAGTGACACAAGGACAGAAGGAGGGACTCGGCCTGCTGGGTGGGGCTGCACTGGGCATCAGGGGGCTCAGTAGGAGGCAGGGGCTGAGCTGGCAGAGCCCAAGGGGAGGGTAGAGTGGGGGGACCCACCCCACTGAGGGAGCCAGGGGACTTGACGAGCAAGTCTTGTCCTGTGTCCCATCTGCCCTTGGTGTCCTAGGGAAGGGGTGGCCCCAAGGTGCACAGGCACTCCCCACCTGCTCTGCATGCCCAGAGAGCCTCCCTGCTGCTTCCTGGTGCACCCGCGGAGGCTGCCAGCTGCGGCTGTTACAGAGAGAGTGCTGTTGGGGCTTCCTGTTTCTATTGCCAAACTGTTATGAAATGAGGTGAATCTCCTCCCACCCCAAGTAAACCCCACAACCCTCCCAGTGCACGATGTCATTCCTCCTCTCCTGCCTGAACATGGCCTGGGGCTCCATTGCTTTTCTGGCAGTTCCGTGAGGGCCAGGCCACAAGTCCAGCAGGGACCCTTAAACGCCCGTGGGGCGAAGAGGTGGGGAAAATATTTGCCATCCTCGGCACCTAGGGATGCCCTCTCCCCTGGAGGAGGACGGCAGGAACATCCAGCTGCCATCTCACTGATGTGGGAAGTGGGCTTAGATATCAGTTCGAGTCTCCCATGTGGAAGCTGCTTAGACCCATACCCCACCTGCTGTCCCCAAAAAGCTTCCCATTCCATGCTGTCCCCTCAGAGGGTGTGTACGTCAGACATTCCTGGGGTGGGAGCTCCTGCATGTCTGGTGCTTTGTAGAGGGGGGAGGAGGCTGTAGAAGCAGTTCACCACCATGCAGAGCCTAGCGGGGCATCTCAGCGCCTCCACCCTTCATGACTCCGGGACTCCCATCATATTCCATCCCATAGTTCCGTGTGAGGGGCACAGGGCCCTCTCTGGCTCCTTCCTGTTCCTGGAGCCCTGGAGGCAATTCCATGAGACTGTCCATCCAGCCAGGCCAGGCAGGACCTTCACAATCTTGTCTAGTATCCACGCCTTGATGAGGCCCCTGTTAGCTCCAAAGATGGCCCCTAGTCCCACTGAAGAACTACCCCTCCATGAAGCCAGCTGCTGGGTGCCCAACCCAGGCATGAGCTAGAGTGCTTTCCAGCCCTGACTGCCCACAGTCCTTCTGCAGGTCAGCCCCAGCCTGCTCCCAGCCCCTGATGGACTCTGTGTGGTCTGTGGGATGGGGGGGCGGGTTATGGTGGTACCAATCTGCTTTGTGCTTCTCATCTGTGGGAGGAAAGTCCCAGAGAGTGGCCCGTCCAATCGCAGCAGGCCCCAGGGACAGACCTCCCCACACACTAGAAAGGTCCCTCCCCAAAGGCTGTGGGCACTGGGACAAGGCAGGGCAGTGTAATGTCCCCAGGAGGGCTCTTACCTGGCAGAGTCACACTGAGTGGCACTAGCCAAAGACACCAATGTCCCTCAGGTCACTAACAAATTCCACCTTTGGAAAATCCTAGGAAGGAAAGCCTGGGCAGTGGGGAGGAACAGGTGGGTTTGAATTCACGCAGCTTAGGGTGGGACAGAGCTGTCCTGCTGGGCCAAAGTTTCCTCAGTGCCAGAGGCAGGTCCCTGCTGGTCACCATTGTTGGGTCCTTGAGCCCACGTCTCCAGGACCCATTATTCTGAGGCAACATGGGGGATAGGCAGGACGGGGCAAACAAGCCCCCATGAGATGCCCCCAGGAAACACTCCGTTCCCTATGGCTGCAGGGCCTGTGAGAGGGTGGGGCCATCTACTGTCTCCCAGGTTCACACATCCCCTGCCCCAGCACCCTCCTCATGCAGTGTGCTGCCTGCCCATAGAGATCATGGGAGTTCCCAGTGAAGGGGAGGAGCGCCCCTCTGTATCCTCCATTCACTTAAATCTCCAGGTAGTCTGGCAGAGACATGACTTGCAGGTACCTCTGAGGCTGGGGAGAATGGGATGGTGTTTGGGGTTCTAAGACCCCACTGCCCACAGTCCAGTCCCCTGACCCCAGCTCCCTGGGGCATTCAGCAGGGTGTGGGAGGACTGAATGATCAAGCGAGGATGATGTTTTCCTGAGCCAGGGCTTCTAACCGATCACTCCCAGCGGATAACTCTCAGGGGTCAGCTCATCACCTACCTCCCCTGGAACTCCCCTGCCTACCTCCTGTTGGGAAACCGAGGTATCTTTCCCATAGATACTCAGTGTGTCTCATCCTGAGTGGGGAGTGGCATTTAAGGGCATTGTAGGCACCCTTCCCAGTGCCAATGGGGTATGAGGCTGGATGTGGTTGGGATCCCGTATCACCACCGGGACTAAGACAGGGACTCTTGGGGGTGGCAGGTTGCATGATGATTAAGGTACTAGAATCCCACATACCTGTTTATGGTTCAAGTCTTGGATCTGGTGGCTTGCTTTTTCACTTTCCCTGTTTCTTCCTTTCTCTGTCTCTTTCTGGCGAGCATATATGCCCTGTAGAAAATTAAAAAATAAAAATAATAATTCAAAAAACAAAATGAGACCCTCATACTGAGGCTGGGCCTCTCCGCAGTCCAGCTCAGTGGCAGATGATGGGGTCCCAAGCTAGCATCTCCCAAGAGTGCTCTCTATCACCCCTGGCTGCTCTCTATGCACCTCCTTTCTGTGGCTCTAGGGTGCAGCCCACTCCCACTGGGTCACCCAACCCAACCCCTGAAGGACTGCCTGGCCAGGATCCCCAGTGAACTTGTCCTTTCTTCTTGATAGAAAGTGTTTGGGGCATGGAGAGTGAGACAGAGGTTTGGGGACCAAAGTGCTAGGACCTGGATGTGAGGATGGATGTGTAGGTCCTGGGGCCCACCCTAGGGGGTCCCCCTCCACTCTGTATGCAAGGCCAGCCTCAGAGCTCAGAGGAGAGGTCCGGCCCTTGCCCTCCCAGCTCATGGCTCACTGGGGAAGCTGGATCTAAGAGCAGATGTCCAAAGTCACATAGCCAGAGCTTGAATAGTGACCGGCACATGCCGTGGGACTCTGGAAGAGAAAAAGGAGCCTGCTGGGAGACATGGTGGGAAGGACATTTTCCGAGACACGGAGTGGGTAGAGCAGTGTCACAGAGAGGTATTTGGGGCCCACTCTTGGTGAGGCATCCCTCCCGGGATGGGATTATGCTGTGTCTGTCCTGGGAGAATGGCTGAGACCAGGCCCATCCTACGCTCAGGACGCTTTGTGCAGCGGTCAGGGTGGTGTGGGGGAACCAGAGTCTCCAAAGCTTCATGAGAAGTTCCAGAGTCACCAGGATGGGAGCTGCTGTAAAGTGAGGGCTGGAGAGGCAGGGCTGCAGGGCATGGAAGAGGGGCACGATCTAAAGCTCTCTGTCTCCAGCTGTCATGGTGTGGCTGGTGGGTGAGGGGAAAAGCTAAGACTCTATAGCCTCATATGAAGGAGTGGGGAGGGGAGTGGACCAGAGATTCAAAAGAGGGCCTGAGAAGGTTCAGAGCAGGCAGGCACTTCCCAGAGGCTGAAGTGTCTGCTGAGAAGCCCAGCCTGTCCCTCAGAGAAGAACTCAAAGACGCCCCCACCTGATCCCTCCAAGTTCCAGGCCTGGGTACCACTTATCTGAGACATCTCAGCCCTGCCGACCCCAGTGGCTCTCAGCAAGCTCCTCCCACCTCCTCCTCTGACAACCTCCTGCCCAGGGGAAAAATGTCTCTTCCCACCCTGATTAGAAGCCTTGGAGCCTGTCCAGTTTCCTGCCTCTCTCTCCCTGCAACTCACCTCTCCAGTCCCACTGGGCCAGAGATTCCTCAAACCCTTCCCTTCTAGCCAAGAAGGAGCCTCAGCTGGAGCCCGTCTTCCTCTCTGGCTCCCTCCGTCTCTGCTGTCCAGGCAGCACTGGGACCTTTCCCTGCTGCAGCTCACACCATGATCTCCCTCCCCCATGGTGCTCTGGTGCCTCTCACGGGCACTGCTCCTCCCCACCAGGGCGTGCCCCAGGATAGACACGCCCCTCCCGCTCATCTCCTGCCCTCTGGGCTCCAGACACACCACCTCCTCAGATCCCTGGTGATTCCAGCTCCTTTCCATCCCTGAAGCTTGACACACAGTGTCCTCTGCCTGGAGTACTCTTCCCCGTTGGCCCTCATGGCCCTTAGGTAAAAAAGGCAGCAATAATAACTCAGAGGGGGTTCTGTGGGGACACTCACTCTCCAATCCTTATGAATGTTAGGCTCTCTCTTTCCTTCTTTCTTTTTTCTCCAGGTTTTTGCCATAGGGTGCATGCGCTTCCTGAAGAGAGACAGAGAGAGAAAGTGAGAGGAAAGGTGAGAAATCAACCCTCAGGGGGATGTCCACACTGCAAACACTTCTTCTCCATTCTCCTCCTGGGATTATGGGTATACACATGTACTTACCAGGTATAAATTTCAGCAACCCAGGTCCAGGATTCAAACCATCGTCCGTCATGTGGGAATCCAGCACCTTAACCACCACACCACCTGCTGGCCCCAGCTCAGGCTCTCTTAACCTCACCAAGACGCTAGGTTAGTGACCTGTCAGAGCACTAAGTTCCACCAATATCCCCACCTTCCAGTGGTGATGCTGAGGCCCACAGCTGGCAACCAGGCCCAGGGCACATCCACAGCAGGAGCAAAGCAGGGCCGGGTCTATGAGGTGGGTCCAGAGGCTGAGCCACCTCGCTCATCGCCTCTGAGATCAGCTCGGGGAGAGCTCTGGGGCACTGCTACAGGACGTGGGATCCTCTTCTGCTTCGTTTGATGGACAAATAGAGCACCTGACCCAAGGAAAGAAACTCCACCCAGTGTGGAGCCACAGATCACTCCACTGCAGAAGGCTTAGGGGGCTTCAGAGACCCCAGGTTCTACAGCCTGGGAAACTTCTGCGGAGATGGGGGAAGAGAGTGTCAGTGTGGACATGTCAGTGTGGACAGAAGGAAGAGAAAATAGCTGAGCTGGTCAACACACAGCAGGGTGAGAGTGGCCTCAGACATGAAGGCTGGAGAAGAGCACTCCTAGCTTGGCACTTTCTGCAGGGCAGGGTGGGCACACAGGAAGGGACCAGCCGGACCAGGACTGGAGAGCCCCACAGACATTCGGCTGCTCTGTTGTAGAAGCTTTGGGGCTACCGTTTGGGAAGGCAATTTGGAGTTCAATATCTCAAGTTCTTAAATCACTGTACTGCTTCACCTGGAAGTCCTATTTAAAAGTTTTGTCCTACACATGTACTCCTATGAGTGTGAGAATGCATGTTTGGGAGTGCGGACACAGCCTTTAGTTGTCAGAGACTGTTGGAAGCAACCCAAGCATACATGAAAGGAAATGCTACTTCTGCT